AAAAAGCACAACACTGAAATCTGAAAGTGCATTGAAATAGAAAAAGATGCTTTCCTAAAGCTGAGAAAAATATTAAAAAACAGAAAAATTTCATTAGAAGCAAAGAAAAGAATACTGAACTATTATGCAATATTGGTCCTCCTATATGGCAGTGAATGCTGGATAATCATTTCACACATGAAGAGATTTCTAGCAGCAGAAATGTGGTTCTACAGACGGGTGCTGGGGATATGTAATGATAGAGAAATAAATAAATAAAAATAGATAACAAGAAGTCCAAAATATTACTATCTCTAAAAATAGACAGATAATAAAAATTGCCAGACAAATAAAGCCATAGTCCAGCCAACCAATCAGAAAGCTTTTACAGCCAGGATGTAAGAAAAGAAATAAACAAATAATAACAAAGGGAGCAAAATTTTATCATCTCTAAAAATAGTTTGACCAACCAATCAGAAAACTTTCATAACCAGTATATAAGACCATGAGTAGTCTTTTCAAATCTGATATATAGATGTGTATATAAAAAGATGGAAAATCAACCAAAATCAGAGTCAGTAAATTAATTTTATCTATTTGCTGATGATGCAGTCATCGTAACATACCCAGAGATGAGATATGACATTTGTATTTTTATCTGCAGATCTTATATGGCTACCCATCCTTGCAACATTGAAAACAAACATACCTTCCTTCACCATGTAGTAAAGAAATGGCTATTTCATTTGGATACAAAACATCCATAAATCCTATACTCCTATATAATTACATTCTTTTCCTCATTCTCTCCTGCATGTATCCACATAAAAACCAGAGATACCATGGACCATCAACAAAGATTTAAAGAAAATGGAAACAAAAAGGACACCTATACTTAACATCAGAAAGAAACAGCTGAAATTTCTAGGGCACATAAAGAGGGCTCAGAAAATTTGACACTCACAGAACAGATTGACTGCAAGAGAAACAGATGAAAATAGTGCGTAACCTACCTAATGAACTTGTGTGAATGGTAGACAGAACAGGGTTTAAAAAAAAAGTTACTAAGAGCTATAAAGGGCAGGAAATTGTGGAGAGCCTTGATCACCCATGTCCTGAAGAGACACAACATATAGAAGAAGAATCGTATACAGTCTATAGTGAGATACTTTTTCACCGATTTACAACTTGCTAACAACTACAAGGTACTAGTTAAGTAAAAATAAAAATTTGGAGAAGCTGTCTGGTAAAAGTTACTAAGAGCTATAAAGGGCAGGAAATTGTGGAGAGCCTTGATCACCCATGTCCTGAAGAGACACAACATATAGAAGAAGAATCATATACAGTCTATAGTGAGATACTTTTTCACTGATTTACAACTTGTTAACAACCACAAGGTACTAGTTAAGTAAAAATAAAAATTCGGAGAAGCTGTCTGGTAAATATCTATTAGAACCAGATATGGTCTGAAAGTATCTGCAGCTACACATGCAAAATTCTTTTTTTTATTCTGCAACCAAGACAGCCAACCTGCATATTCAGGGACCAAATTGCTCATAGAGATCTTACATTTTAGCTAGTATAATTTGTTCTATTTTTTTTTTATATGACCCTGCTTTAACAATAGTCTAAAAGAAAAGATTGTTTTTTCTTATATATTGTTTTTGTTTCTCCTTTTTTTCAACCCATAGAAAAGGTTTAGTATCACGTATTTGTGCAAGTCTCTTTTTTACCTGCAACCTTTTGACAATTCATCACTCGCTTCTTTTTCTGTCATAGCTGTCTCCTATTTGAATATTTGTTTTTGTGTTATATAAATTGATTATTTACATCCAAACATGTCTTGCTTGTTTAAAGAATCTATTTTTACAGCTATACATTTCCAGCTCGTGTTCTTTCTATTAAAACTTACTGTTAGTGGAAGAGGGGACATATCTTTCTACAACAATCTGTTTCTCGCCGCAAAACGATAGTAGTAGTAGTGATACTGACAATACAAGCCCTTTCCACAAAAAAATGACTGCAAACAATTTGCAGCTTTTCAACTTATGACTAATTTCCTTATACAAACCTACTCCTGCATAACTTACACGTCTTTCATCATTTAATAATATTGTTGTGGTAGAGACGGTACCATCCCCAACATAATTTCAATAAAGAGATCAGAGGTTCAGTATCTTTCTTTCTGTCTCTCTTCCTTCATTCCCCTCTTTCTCTCTTTGTTCTTTTTTTTTTTTTTTTGGTACTCAGCACCACCTTCCCGTTATCCTTTGTTGGATGAACTGATCCAAATTACAGGTCGTGCCAAAAGTTAGAAAGGTGTTGTGCTTTATAAATCTAACAATGTATCTTCTTATTAGGTTGTTTGGAAAATAATGTCTGATTTTAGAATCAGCTTTTATTCTTGAATTAATGTATTTAAACAGTGTTTAAATCATTCTAAATAGGAGCCTTGAAAATCTATATATTTTTGTCACCGAGTTACAAGATTATTTATGTCTTCATGATAAAACTCTAAAGGTTTGGATGCTAAGAAATAGGTACTGTATCATCTTTGCTTAAAAAATTGTCAAGATGCTTGGAAAAGTGTTAATCAGTAGGTGAGATATCAGGGGAATATGGTAGATGCGGCAAAGTCTTATAATCTCAAGTTGGTAAGCTTCTACAGTGTCATCTTGGCAACATGTGGATGAGCATTGTCATGAAGCAGAATTGAACCTTGTTGATTAACCAGTTCCAGTCACATTTTGTTTAACTGAATATGCATTTCCCCCAATTGCTGAAAGTGATGCTTTGATTAAATTCCAGAAAACTGTAATAGACAATACCAATGGCAGATGACCAAACAGTCCCCATAATCTTCTGTTGGCACAGTTTGGGTTTTTGGAAGGGTTTGGGTCCTTTGTCATGATCAAGCCATTGAGATGATCATTTACAATTGTCATAAATGATTTATTTTGCAGATGCAGCATTTAGCACACTTCAAAATATCAAACTCTTTGACTTTCACTGAGTCCATGTGGAACCTATTTATTGAGTTTCTTCAGCTTGCCAATTCTCTTGGGATGATCCAATATTCTTGAAGTGCTGACACCTATTATCTGAAACATTTCTCTGACATTTTGACATGGGTCTTGTTCAACTCATGTTTTCAGATGCTAGTTACCAACTGCAGATAGACGTTCACTATCAACTTGATTTTCAAGACTCGTATCCCCACTGTGGAAATTCAGAAACCAGTGCTGTACTGTTTGATCACAAGTGGAGCCTTCACCCCATACTCAGTTAATGTTGACAGCTGTCTGAAAAACATTATGACTAAGCTTGAACTCATGCAAAACATGTAAACACTTCTTTTTTGACATCCAAGATGAGGATCATATAATTTTTTAAGTTAAATTCTGAAAGAGATTGATATAAAAATTAACAAAGAGGACACTTTAATCAAGTAATATATTTTTGTGCAACTATTATGATAATATATTAGAACTCAAAAGGTTTATTCTGAAATCAGACATTATTTTCCGAACAACAAAATACTATTTTGCAGTGTACACACAAGATGCATCACGTATTTGAGAACAAAATTCTTAAAGCGATTGATATAAAATTAACAAAGAGGACACTTTAATCATTAGGAATGAGTAATATATTTTTGTGAAACTATTATAAGAATAGAATATATTAGAACACAATTAAAATGTATATTCTAAAATCTGACTTATTTACCAAACAACCTTATATATATATATATATATAAGGTTGTTTGCAAATAAGTTTGGTAAATATATATATATATGTGTGTGTGTGTGTGTGTGTATGTATATATATATATATATATATATATATATATATACCCACAGACAGCCTGTTTTGCTGTAGCACAGCTCATCAACCAATTTGGCATCAATCAGAGACTCTACCCCTAGGCTATCGGGGAATGCCACAGAAAGGGAATCTTTTAATGTATTATATACATGATGTATATAAATGCTAGACCAGCAGTCAGAGTGCTCAATTCTGGTGAAAAACAAAATGTAAATGCTTCTCTTCTATTTTCATATAATGTTTTAAGTTAAATTCTGAAAGAGATTGATATAAAATTAACAAAGAGGACACTTTAATCATTAGGAATAAGTAATATATTTGTGTGCAACTATTATAATAATGTATTAGAAAATAAAAGGTTTATTCAAAAGTTGGACATTATTTTCTAAGCCACCTGATAATTAAAAGAACACATTTTATCCTCAATTTATACTAAAAATGAATTATTAATATTGTAACCATCTTGATTTGGAGGCAGCACAACAAAGTGAGGTTACTGAATTTTTCTTAACTGCATATTCATTAGTTTTATTCAAAACAAAATATGTTATATGTACTTTACAATGCTTTACCAAAGCCCTATTGAGAGTTAGAAATGAAACAGAAATTCTTTTCCTTAATATAACTTGGCATATCTACCTGTATATGTCACCAGTATAAAGGGTGCCTCAGTGTGGTGTAATGGTTAGCAAGCTGGTCTCACTAAAAAAAAATTAACAACTGAATAGTGAGTTCGATCCTCACTAGGTGTCCTATACTTTCGGCCATGTGCCTCATCTAAACCTTGCTTAGAAAATCAATTTTGGGCACCTCAACATGGTGTAATGGTTAACAAGCTTGTCTCACTAGAACCATTACAACTGAGTAGTGAGTTCGATCCTCACTGGGTGCCCACTACTTTCAGCCTTCTGCCACATCTAAGCTACACTTGGAAAATCCCTATCACCAGTATAAATCAGTTTTATTTTAAAAATTTAAAACAAATTTAAATTGTGTAGTTAAGAGTTTATTTGTTGGAAATTTAAATGTGTTTAATGCTCCAGTATTATTTTCTTATAAAATAAATTCAAATGATTAATTTAAATAATTATAATCTTTAAAAATCTCTCAGTATTTCCAAGATAATTTCATCATATATACAACTGGAAGAACAGCAGCCTACTCAATATATCACTTGCCAGCTTATCAGCAGATCAGCAATTGAAATATAGATTGAGATAGATAGTTAGATAGATAGATAGATAGATACATAGAGAGATATGAATGGTCTGATGAAGATTAGATACATTTCAACATTTTGATAAAGATTGGATTGATAAGTAGATAGATATTATAAATTAATTGATTTAAAATATGGTTTTTTCCGCTACACAGTTCTAACCATGTTTCAAAAATGGAAGCTAAAAGCCCCGAATTTAATTTTGTAATTAAATTAAAGATATTAGTTCCATTTCATCCTCAAGCAAATTAATTTATAATATTAATGCTCTGTAAATTTACATTGAGCACTATTTTGTAAAAATAAAAATATCTATAAGAACACTGGATTATATATCTTACTGTTCTTTCTTTTTATTTATATATACATAAGTAGATAGATATGAATTCTCTGATAGAAACTACATAGATATGAATAGTTTGATAAATTTTAGATATATAGATCTATTAAAAGGATTTTTTGCAGAGGAGAGAAGAAAAGAGGCTGCCAAATCTCTTGTTTGAAGTATTATAATTGATGCAAAATCACAAAACTCTTACTCTAGTGAGAAATTTGAAAGAAATTTACATTTGCTCACCTAACACTTACAAAAGACAAAAAATTCTAATTACAATTCTTGGTTTGGTTTGTTTTGTTTTACAGCATATCAAGCTCAATGTGTTATTTAATGCTGAAAATTTTTTTATTGCTGGTAAGATTTTTTTTCCAAAAATGTATTGCTGGTAATATTTTTTTCTTGAAAAGTCTATTTCTGGGAATATTTTTTCTTCAAAAATCTATTGCTAGTAATATTTTTTCCAAAAAATGTATAGCTGGTAATATTTTTCAAAAAAAATGTATAGCTGGTAATATTTTTTCTTCAAAAGTTTTTCCAAAAAAAAATGTGTAATTGGTAAGATTTTTTCAAAAAATGTATAGCTGTTTGTATTGCTGATAGTATTTTTTTTTAATAAGTATTGCTGGTAACAATTTTTTCCTTTAAAAATTTATTGCAGATAATAATTTTTTTACAAAGTGTTTCTGGTATTAAAACCTATTTTTACACTTTCATAGTGTTTTGACCCCAGTTTGGGGGTTAACTATTTGGACCTGGGAACACCAGCAATTAAGAGGTGGTTCAACACTCCTCAAAACCTCTTGATCAGAGGCCTTGCTGTTGGACGTAGTTTATTGTCTTATTCAGGACATGGATTTAATTTATCATCATACCCAGGATGGATTACAATTCTTATAATTATCATCAGCAAAAGATTCATTTTCTTGGATTCATTTGACTGTTGAAAGGTTTTTTAGGTTTTCACAGTCATTGCTGGATTCGTGGTTTACTTAGACAATAGTCAGTTTTACAAATTGAGATAAATTTTGTATTTTCATAAAAAATTCAAAATCAGAGTTAATACCTCTAATTTTATGACAAACTTTCACAAACAACTATAGAAAGATAATCATATATTTCTCTAAATGTGTAGCATTTTCTGCTTTTATTTCTTTTTCTTCTGTTACTTCCTTTTCTTTTTCTTTCAGAGTCTCTTTTTTTGTCATTGTAGTAATTGTCATCATTGGTGGCGGTTTTTCTTTTTTCCTTTGTTCAGAACCAGCTGATCTGTTCCTTGTGAATGTCAAAACACTTTTCCTTTCTTTTTCATCAAAGTTCAGCTTGCAGAATCTTCCTTGTGAATGTTGGAAAACCTTCTCGCTATCTGACAAGCCAGACTTCTTAAATAGCCACAAATCGACTCCAAACCAAATCAAAAATTTAATACTATGGGTTCATAACTTACTTTTCTCCACTGGTTAAAAAATCACAAAATGTATCTCTTTAAACCACACCTGTTTGAAAACTTTATTTAGGTCGGTTTTGAGGTCACCAGACTTGAACCTCTTTTTTTACAAATTTTATATAGGTATCTTTTTTTATAAAATGTCAGGCTTTATTTTGGCAGTTTTCTTATGGCATCTATTTTAGCCTTACATATACAAAATTGTATACATCAAATTTTATTTAAAGCTTTTTTTTGCTTCATTATAGCAGTTTTTTATCTAAAGAATATGTGTTAGTAACTTTCTTCTGTTAATAATTTTTTTAAATACTCCCCTCAAAAGAAAGTGTAATAAAAAAACCTAGTCTATTGTATTATTTTTTTTTATCTACCCTTTAATTACTTTTATATAATTTTACATTTCCTTTTTTATTATATAAATTCCCATATTATCTCTCCTAATGTATTCATAAATGCCTTCCTATCATTCCCAATCAGCTTTTGTCTTAAGAATAATTAATCTTGGTAGGCAACCAATCCAGGAGAAAGAAATTTCTTAATTCCAAACTGTGGAGAAGACAATGGGAAACCACTCTCCCGTCTTTCACAAGAAGACATATTCACAGATAACAAAAATGGAGAGTCATGATTGTCTACTTCCTGAAGGGACATGACATTTTAAAAAAGGGGAGGAGAACTTGTAAGATTTAATGTGCCTATGAATCAGTCTTCTGCAGTGTGCTACCAGGATAAGAAACATTCCTTGAATATCTTAAGCAAAGTTGTATCTTATTGCAACTCATTTCTTATGGCTTCAGTGAAAAAAAAATAAAGGAAATAAAAAGAAGAAAAGTTTGTTACCACGTTTCATACTATATAAGATCAATTGGCATGTGATACCATCACCAGGTTTCAGTAGGGATTATTAAGAAAATAAATATTGGTGAATGTTACCATGACCTTTACTGGAATTGTATACATATTCCCTATTTGATTCTGTTGTTTTTAGATGTTGATTACAAATTTGTGAAAAGGAAGATGGGTGTTATATACAATCAAACAAAGTATAAAACATTACTTCTTTTACTGTTCTCTCTGATATTTTGATATTTTTTTGCTTTTGTTACATTCACAAATTCTAAGATAACATTCAACCCTCAAGCTAAGTATAGATTTCTTACTGGCTATGATAAAATGTACATGTACTTGCTTGTAGTAACTTGCTTGCAGATAATTCAAGTGATTTCTTTGTAGTACTATTGTTAGTGTTGATTTTGATCTTTTGTTTGAATACCACCAGCAACCCAGTCCAAATTTTCTGCCAGGTCCCATTCCCACACATTTTCCAGGAATTAGATTCCTGCTTAACAGAACACAAAACCATAACTATCTTTAGAAAATGTGTCCATGTGACTGGAATTGCCATAAAAGGTTATCTCTTCTTTAAACAAATTAAGATGCTGGAATATTTAGTATTACTGAATCATGTTCAGTTAATAATTTTAAAATATTCAATTATCACAAACAAGCCAGTAGGCACATAGATAGATATTAGCAGTGTGAGATAGATAGATAGATAGATAGATAGATAGATAGATAGATAGATAGATATTAGCAGTGTGAGATAGATAGATATTAGCAATGTGAGATAGATAGATAGATAGATAGATAGATAGATAGATAGATAGATAGATAGATAGATAGATAGATAGATATGAGAAGATTCAATAGATAAGGAAGAGAGATAGATAGATAGATAGATAGATAGATAGATAGATAGATATGGACAGACAGATAGAAGATTAATAGATGATAGATGAGATAGATAGATAGATAGATAGATATGATAGATAGATAGATAGATAGATAGATAGATATAGATAGATGAACTTAGATAGATATGAACAGAATGAGATAGATATGGACAGACAGATAGATATTAACTGACTGAGATAGATAGATAGATAGATAGATAGATAGATAGATAGATAGATATTAGCAGTGTGAGATAGATAGATAGATAATTGAGATAATGTGATAGATAGATAGATAGATAGATAGATAGATAGATAGATAGATAGATAGATAGATAGATAGATAGATAGATAGATAGATATTAGCAGTGTGAAATAGTAACAATGTGAGATAGATAAATATTAACAGTGTGGGGTAGATAGATAAATACATATTAGCAGTGTGAATTAGATAGATATTAGCAGTGTGAGATAGAAAGATAGATATTAGCAGTATGATAGATAGATAGATAGATAGATATTAACAATGTGAGATAGATAGTTAGATGTTTGCAGTCTGAGATAGATTGATAGATAGACTTTAGTAATGTGAGATAGATAGGGACATAGATATTAGCAGTGTGATATATATATATATATATATATATATATATATATATATATATATATATATATATATATATAACCATGTAAGATATATATATATATATATATATATATATATTATTTATTAAAGACATTTTTATGTTTAACGTTGTTATGTATTTTTTTATAAATTGTCGGACTTTGTCCATTTCTTAATATATATATATATATATATATATATATATACCATGTAAGATATATATATATATATATATATATATATATATATATATATATATATATAACAGTGTAAGATAGATAGATATTAACTGTGTAAGATAGAGAAATAGACATAGTTATAGGGCCCGATGGATAAATTGACGCCTAAATTATGCAAAAATGAAAATTACACTAACATCCAATTTTAACAGATATATTCAGCAAAATTATACAAAAATATCTTGAAACACTAAAGTGTAAATTTATGCAATAAAATTGGCATTGTCTTCAACCATGGACTCTAGATGAGTATGGAATCTCTTGCAACTCTTCTGCATGTTCTCTTTGTTTTAGTTGATGAATGCTAAGATAATCCTTGCCTTCAGTTCATCTTTGGTGTTACATGAGTTTTGTTGGTCTCTCGTTCAACTGTGCCCCACACATAATAACCAAAGGGGTTGCAGTTTGGGGAGTTTGTTGGCCAGATGTATGGAGTGATGTTGTCACAGAAATTGTCTGACAGCCATGATTGGGTTTTCCTGCTTGTGTGGCATGGTGCAGAGTCCTGTTACCAGACATAGGGTCTTCTAGCAGTCATCCTCTTTACTCATGGCAGCACTACCTCCTCAAGGCACTTGATATTGAGTCTGAGGCTCAGTGGGAAGATGAATAGAGGCATAACATCACCATCTCCAGTGATCACTCCAAACACCTTTGTAATCACTATTACTCATCCAACACTTTCCAAATCCTTTGCACTGTCCTCAGATTGGCACCGAAACACTCAGAAATGTTTGTATTGGAGCTTTGGTATTGTGAATTGCATCATGTTACTCTTTTTCTCACAACCAGTGCCCAAGTAACCTTACTATACTGTATAGTCAACAAAATCTAAAACCACACACATATGCAAAATTAAAAATATAAAATGGCGATAATTTATCCATCGCACCCTGTAGAGTAGATTGTGGTAGATAGATATGAGTAGATTGTAATAGATGTTAACACTGAGAGAGATAGATATTAACAGTGTGAGATAGAAAGTTCGATATGATCAGGCTGTGATAGATTGCTAGCTATATAGACAGATATCATCTGACTGTGATAGATAAACAGACAAGTGTAGCTTGTGATAGATAGATAGATAGATAGATAGATAGATAGATAGATAGATATGATCAGACTGGGTAAGATAGATAGATAGATAGATAGATAGATAGATAGATAGATAGATAGATAGATATGAACAGATTGGGATAGATAGATAGATAGATAGATAGATAGATAGATAGATAGATAGATATGAACAGATTGGGATAGATAGATAGATAGATAGATAGATAGATAGATAGATAGATATGAACAGACTGGGATAGATAGATATGAACAGATTGAGATAGAGAGATAGATAGATATGAACAGACTGGGATAGATAGATATGAACAGATTGGGATAGATAGATAGATAGATATGAACAGACTGGGATAGATAGATAGATAGATAGATAGATAGATAGATAGATAGATATGAACCGACTGGGATAGATAGATAGATAGATAGATAGATAGATAGATAGATATGATCAGACTGGGTTAGATAGATAGATAGATAGATAGATAGATAGATATGATCAGACTGGGATAGATAGATAGATAGATAGATAGATAGATAGATAGGTGGTGAAGATTATGCTTATGTGCCTGAGTAGATTGGCATGCTTGGAAATAAGCAGACTATGTTGCAGATGAGAAATCCTACTGATTTGCAGTGTGCCTTCAAATTGAAAAAATCTTTGATGATGATGCTATATCATGAAATGAAATTCATTTTAGAAATTCTTTCTTTTTAACAAAGTAGAATACATTTTCCACTGACCTGAGGTGGAACAACTACATTGAATCAATAGCTTCATCTACCGCAAGGAAAGTTGGTTCTTTGTGTCGCACCAGGTTTTTCTCGTCTGAGTCCATCCTTCAAATCTACAAACCTACCATTTGTCCTTGCATTGAATACTGTAGCCATATATGGTCTGGTGCCCCTGCTGTTCATCTTGAGATTCTCAAGAAAATCCAAAGACGGATATGCATTTTGATAGGTACTGACCTGGTATCTCAACTACAGTCACTTTCTCACAAACGTGATGTGCCTTCCCTCTGTCTTTTCTATAAATATTTTCATGGCATCTGCTCTGACGAGCTATGTTCACTGATGCCCCCACTGCATGAATTTAAGCGTGCTACTAGGTTGGTACCTCAGTCTCACCCTTTCATTCTTGAAACAGTTAAATGTAACCATCTCTTCTACTCCAACAGCTTCTTCTCTCACACTTCCTGACAGTGAAACTCCCTTCCTCTAACTTGCTTCCCTGATAGCTATAATCTTCAAATATTCAAATGTAATGTCAATCGACATCTTCTGATGCCTTGATCTTGATCCACATCCTTCTCTTTATTCTTTCCTCAAACACCCTTCTTTACTCTTACTCTCACTCTCTGTAACCCCTTGTGTGCTAGTGACCTCCCGCTTTCTTGGGGTGAAATACTTAAAAAAAAAAAATTTGAAATTGATAAAAAAATAGGTCATTATTCATAAAAACAAACAGTAATTGACCTCCTACAATCCAAAATATGTTTCAGCTTTAAATAACTCACCAAGGGTTGATAAGCTGTAAAAAAAACAAAAAACAAATCAATCATAAAAAAAACATCTATAAAAGACATTATAATTCTATTAACCTATATAAATAATATTGTCTTTTATGGATAGTGGTTCCGTTTAAGGAATCTGAAAGCCAAGTTTGCATTCTAGTCGCATTCATTACATTCACTTATATACAAATACTCTTGAGAAAGGTATGTATCCATCATTTCTTCTTCCCCTCCCCTAGGAAATGGTAAATAGAAACACAAACTGGGTCCTATTGCCCTGGGTGATGACCGGTCTAGAAGGACAACTCTGAATTCAACGCCACCAACAATGTGTTAAATAGCCACACTAAAAGTATAGTAAGTATCTCTGAAGAAATGGTCAGTCAAAGAGGGTTTCTTTCAACAGGAGTGGGAAAGCCCCCAATTTGGATTTGGACATGAGTAAAAATAAATGCAGAAGGAATGACTGCTGGGTCTAAATATAATCTGTCTGTAATTTATACTGCTGATTCTCTGAGAGTATTTTTCTCTCCCCTTGTTTTTTAGTCACTGTGCATATTTTTTTGCATGATTGCCTCTGAAGAGCAAGCAAGGACTGATAACTGTTTAGGCCCTTTTAGTTATTTCTTTGTTATTCTTTTATATTTTTAATCCACAATTTTACAGTAATTTTTTTCTTTCTTATTCTTCTTCTTCCACCCCTGTGTTTTATCAGTCAGTCAGTTATGTGCCATGCATGATACACACTTAGGCAATCATGTATCTTTCGATACATGACTAATGAGGCAGGTTTTTTTTTCCCTGCAGTAGGTTGCCATTTCTTTCTGCGGTAGACCAGTTGCCATCCAAGTCTATAGAACCTGATCTGTCCTGCTATTTACCCATAGCTTGGGGGAGAAGAAGAGGATTCATACCCTTTCCAAGGGCATTAACATGTAAGTGAATGTAATGGATTCAAGTGGAATTTGAACTCTTTGGCTTATGATACCAACAGAATAAGGGGGCAATTCAAGAATGAGTTATTAACAGTGAATTGCTTTCTAGTGAGTCTGAGAGTGTTAATGTGTGTTAATACATATGCAGACATAAAAATATTTTGTGTGTATGTACGTACATGTGTAATTGGCATACATGTAAGAATTAAATATTACAGGTGGGGTAGCAGAATTTTAGAAATACCAAAGTTGGGCATGGCCCAAAATCGGTTCGGAACCACTGAAAATGCAGAAAATGCACAGCATTTAAGAGCCGATTACATTACAGATATTAGAGCCTAAACTAAGCCAACTTTAACAAACAGTAACTACCACTTCTTATAATTGGGCAAGAGACTTTACACATATGAACTCTGTAAAATTAACCCTTCTTTTTTTTATGAAACTAAGCATTTCTTTGTGCTTACAATCACTGCAAAAGTATATATCTGTTATCTTCTGTCGTGTTATGTTTCCAGTCTGCCTTTTTTCTTCATTTCAAATCCTGTTGTTTACTGTGTTTTCCATAAACATTGAAACCAATGATCATAGCAAAAGATTCAGCTATAATGTTTTCTTACAATGGGAAAATTATTATGTGAATAGCCAAATAAATGTTTGGCAAACATAGATCTTTAATCCTTAAAAAAAACTGGGCGTTAAAAGGACAGTTTTTCCCTTGACACTGCTATTATTTTAACTACCTTCAATCCTTAGTAATTTTTATTGTTTTAATGATCAGAATTGTAATAAAACTGAAACATATGATGAAAGTAAATTTACACATTTTTTTTTTGTTCTTGAGAATTTACAAAAATATTTACAATAAATTTTATATTTACAGTATAAAAATTAATATAATTAAAACTAAAGCAATACAATATTTATCACTTACCAACTGATAAAGAAATAAATATGAATATGATTTCTTATAAAATTATGAACATTTACTAAATTATTAAAATATGTGAACCAACTATAAATAAATCCTTATTTACAATTTTATAAAGATTGAATCAATTGGCAATTAACCAATGTTTTGCCAACCATTCCAACAATCTAATAAATAGTGTAAATAAATAATCTAATTTTTTATTATTTTTGTTGTCAATTCTCAAGAACAAAGAAAATGTATCAATTCACTTTCATCATATTTAGATTTTATTACAATTCTAATCATCGCTTTTTAAAATAAGCATTTCCAAGGTGTCATGAGAAAAATCGTTGTTTTGACACTGTTATTTTTGCAGGCACAAAGGTACATGTTTGCCCAGATGTTAAATTAATGAAATACAAAGAATTTGAAAATAATACTTTTAAAAGTTCCATGTGGAAAGAAAACTTTGAGTAAAATACATGGAAAATTAATGACAAAGTGGAAAAGATTTTTACTGTGACACGTCTTATCTTTTTGAACTTCATCAGACTAAAGTGATGTTTATGTCGATGTAACTAAACGTGCATATGTATGGGGGGTGATGCTGAAATTGTGACCTTTTAAATAATTTTTTTTTATATGTGTTTGGGTATATAGTCTAACCAATTTTATTTTGTTTCTTTTTACATGACATCTTTCCTCCTATATGGCAGCGAATGTTAGACAGTATCCTCAAGGATGAAGAGGCGACGGAGATGTGGTTCTACAGAAGGATGCTGAGGATATCATGGACCAAGCATGTGAGCAACAATGAGGTCTTGGAGAGGATGCAAACAAGAAGGGAGCTTATGCTTTACATAAGGAAGAGGCAGATGAAATTTCTGGAACACGTGCTGAGAAGGGAGGGCTTGGAGAATCTGATACTCATGATGCGAATAGAGGGAAAAAGAGATAGGGGAAAGTAGTTTATGACATATGTGGTGGGCTTAGGCAGGTGTATGGCGGAGCATGGTCTGGGGGAGTTGGCAGAAACACAAAACCTGTTAAGAGCCACAAAGGATAGGGGCAAATGAAGGGCCATGATCATCTACATCCTGAAAGGACACGGCCCATAAAAAGAAAAGATCAGTTTTGTTATTAAGTATCTCACATTGTGATAATAGATCAGCCAAGAAAGGAGAAATATAAACACATGGATGCAAATTTAATGTGAAAGATCTAGTGATTTATATACGCTTTTGTCTTAGTAAATTGCTTTTAATTAAAATGATATTTTTAAATCAAAATTATGGTCAGGCTCATTATGGTGAGCAATTAACACATTTAGCGTGTTGTTTTGTAAAAGACCTTCGTGTTTATATATTCGTTTACTGAACATGAGCAACAATGAAGTTTGCAGAAAATGGAAACAAAAAGGAAACTTATATTTAACATCAGGAAGAGATAGTCAAAATTTCTAGAGCACATAATCAGGAAATAAGGCTCGGAAAATCTGATACTCACAGGAGAGATTGAAAGCAAGACTGACAGAGGAAAACAACACATAACTTAGTGAACTTAAGTAAATGGATGGCAGAACAAGGTTTAGGAGAAATAGCAAGAAAACATTTATTAAGAGCTTAAAAGGACAGGAAGTTGTGGAGAGCTATGATCAACTATAACTGGAAGGGAAAAGTTCCTCTTAGGTATTCCATGTGCAATTATTACAGGAGATTGAGTAAATTCCTCCTTCAGGTTTTAGCTTATTATTGTTGTAACCTAGGGAATGTTACTGAATAGAATAATCAAATGAAGGTTGGTAATGAACGATAATACTTAGGACAAGAACAACACATATAAGATTCGCCAGCGGCAGGTTAAAGAAGTAATCAACTGCTAGAAGTGAGTCAAGAGAATTCCACAATGAATCTCTAACTGCAGGTTATCTACTAACCACCCCACGAGGTCAGATGTGGCACAAGGCCAAATTTAAGGTGGGGTACCTGCCAAAAACTCCCCATAGACCAAGGTCAGGCAGCTGTTTCCCGAGATGAGACTCTGCCCTTTGATGTAGCCTCGTCTGGGGATCCTCTCTGCTTGGAGACAGAGAGTTTAACCAGCCCAGCTGGAGATGAATCTCCACCTGCAGACTAACAT